TCCTAAAAATACCCTAAGACTAAAAAATAACTACTCCTATGTTAGTTAATGATTAGATCACATTTTTCTAAATTATTCATCTTTACTTTGCAAGCTCCAAGCATCCAAAGTTCCAAACTTTTTGCGAGACAAAAAAAGGTCGTCTCCTTACCCCTCCTCTCCAAAAAAACCCAACCAAACTAGGGCTAAGGTTCACACATTAATTTCAGATCATTTGTCATTCCACAGATAATTAATGGAATAAAGTTTTTGAATTCATAAAGGAATTGAGACCCTCACCAGTAATGAGGAACAAATGGACAATTGAAGAGGGGCGGGTACGAATCATGGCATAGAGATTGGAAAAGCCATTGACCAGGGTCGAAGCGTTGTTGGAAGGCGTCGCTAAGATTGTGGGCGGGATCTATGGAGATGATGAGGACCGAGGATCGAACCTGAGCGAGTAGGATACCAATGATGGAACTGCAAGTTGTCTCCCCTACCCCTCCCTTGCCCCCTACAAACACCCACTTCAACGTCTCCTGATCTAAAACGTTCTTCACTGTCCCATCTGGTGATTCCTGTGAGGCCATGAATTAGCAACTCTTCCCAAACAATAGATAATGTTACACACAGATATGATAATTGAAATATTTTCCTACCTTGTCCCAAATTGAAGTGCAAAATTAACATTTTTGGGTACTTTTATGTTAGCATCATTACTATGTACTTTTTTATTCATAAATATAAACTTATGGTCATAAGCACATGCGATATGGTGTAAAATACTTAAACATTTATAGAGGTGTAGTTAAAACATCATAAATTTATATTGTCAAAGAAAAAACATATGTTCATAATACTAATGTTACTTTTTATATAAAGTTTGGTGAAAGAGGCAGAGGCTCGTAGAGTGCGTCCAAGCGGAATGGTCTCTGCTTTCATTCACTCAAGCCTTCATAGGATTAAGTTTGTCCAAGCGGAATGGTCTCCGCTTGAGACAGAGGTTCGTGGAGTGCGGGAAACCGTTAATTGGGCCCGTAGTAATGGATGGGGAGAAAGTGGTTGTGGAAATAGATGCAACTTCGGTGGTGACGGTTTACAAGGAGATTCGGGAATGTCGTATATAGACATAGTTCTTGATGACTTTGAGAGTCTTGCTTCAAGAAAATGAATTTTTAAGAATTAACTTTTGCTTCGGTGGCCCGAGCGACTATTTTCGAGGATGATTGTGATGTTATTTTTTATTTCCATCCTGATGTTATTGTAAGCCTCTTGGCTAACGATGAATTGGATTAATATAAGTTGTTTTTTACTCTAAAAAAGATTTTTCAAACCTAATGATACCAATAATGCTCCCTAATAAACTCTCATATAAATAGAAGGAACTACACATAATAATCACATAGGGAGTAAATAAATAAAACAGTATGGTAATAAGTTATCATACAACTTTACATGCGCGCGGCTGCTTCAGAAATATACTATCCTTCGTTTTTTAATAGTTGAAAGAGTTTGACTTTCACGTCTTCCAACGGACAATTTCGATTGTAATATATTTATTTATGTATTAGTAAACATTATAAAAAGTTAATACCCCCTCCGTCTATCTTAACCAATGTCCTAGTTTGACTTCACACATATTAAGAAAATAAATTTAGTGAGGGGTAAATTGTTCTGTAGAGTGCACTATTTGGATAATGTTTGACACTGTTTGATATAGAATTGTTTACCAAATAATGAAGTTAAAGAAGTAAGACTTTAATTTAGGGACTTTCATTTTGGGAAAGTGGAACTTTGTTTTAGGGACGGGGGAAATATTTTGGAAATTTACATTATTAGAAATTTAATAACATTTTATACAAAATAATTTGATTATATATATATATTAATAGAAAATTGTGATCGAAGTAAGGTGTGTGAATAGGAATCCTGCGCATGCATATTACTATTATTGATATATATACGTACATAATAATATGCAAGTATAAAATTGTTCTAAATAGGACTAAAAAGCATTGATAGGACTACCATTTTTTTTTAAAATTGCCCCTAGCAGGACTAAATACCCTAAATATCGCTAAGCGTATTAATTCATAATGAAAGGTTTTATTTCACCAGAAAAAATAAAAATAAATCGTAAAAACTATTAAAAATTGTAAAATAATAAAAACAAAAAATTAAAAAAAAATTTATTTATTTTTTGAATTTTTCTTTTAAAAATTAATAAAAAATTGTAAAAATCCATATAAAAAATATGGATACCTTTCCTACTGCCTCCCAGCATCACCACCTCTGATAGGTGAAAAAGCTGCCATTATTGGTAAAAAATGATTTTTTCTGAAAATAACATATTACTGTTGATAATGCAAAAAAAATCATTGAATCTGCCATTATTATGACATTACTAAAAATGTGGGCATTTTTTCCTCCGGTGATCGGAGCTGGTGGTGTTGGGGGTGGCATAGGTGGCGGTATTTTTTATGTTTTAATTTTTAAATTTTTTATTTTATAATTATTTTATTAATTTTATATTAATTTTTATGATTTTTTTATTATTTTTTACGAATTTATTCTGAACTCTATCTTTTCAAAAGCTACAAATATTTTTACAATTGTAGAAATATTGGTCCAAATACACATTAATCAATATATATATATATATATATATATATATATATATATATATATAAGAGGAACTTTTTAAGAGCATAAGGTGTGCCACATAATCCTGCCATGTCATCATATATAGTAATTATTAATGACTTTTTATATTTTTTATTTTTTATTACATTCTATTTTTTATTGCATATTTATATGGAAACAAAATATTGTACGATTATATAGAATCCACCTTATTTATACTACGTAACTTGTTATGAACCTCTACTTACTCCGTATTAATTTTGTATGACACGGATTCAACCATCCTTTTTTTATTTGTAATAAAAAAAATAAAAAGCATAAAATGTACTTTTTATTTTTCTAAACTCAGTCACTTTTTTTGTATGTTTTCTAAACTCAATGCGATAATGACTAAAATTGTAAGCCTTAAATAGATTTGCAATTATGTAAATACTTTCTTAGTAGTTGGAAATAATTACCACAAGATTTTTTAACTTAAAAATGAAATTGATATATACTATTAGACGTTCATATATGAAAACATGTAAAACTTCTGATCAAGTATCTTACCTTTATTAGGATAGAAATTCATATCATACATGTATATATATATAGAGAAGTGATCAGGTCCAGCCGGAGGGACGGGAGGCGCCGTCCGAACTCCGCCGTTTGGGTCGGTTTCTGGTGGAATTTTTTGATGAAATTTTTTGAGCATGTTCTTCATCAAGTCTAGTTTGTTCAAACCAAATTTCAGCTCAAACTTCGACCGGGAAGGCATTCAAATCATTTTTTGAAGTTGACTGCGCCAAAATATACATATAAAAATGCAGTCAACTTCAAAAAATGATTTGAATGCCTTCCCGGTCGAATTTTGAGTTGAAATTTGGTATGGTCAAACTAGACTTGATGAAGAACATGCTCAAAAAATTTCATCAAAAAATTCCACCGGGAACCGCCCCAAACGGCGGAGTTCGGACGGAGGCTGGACCGGGGAGGGCTGGACCTGATCTTTTGTGTGTGTGTGTGTGTGTGTGTGTGTGTGTATATATATATATTCACAAGTAAGCGTGTTGTTTAGCCCAACCAAAAAAGTAAATATGTTTAGTTGTTTCTTTATTTTTACAACGACAATTTAAATATTCCTCCACTTCTGTAATAGATTCCTAACTCAAATTAGGAAATCTTCATACATTTAGAATGTTTTTAATTGAACTGATTTCAGTCGCAGACGAGATCAGATCAAACATCAATCATAATAATAATAATAATAATAATTAATATTATTATACATACATATAATAGACATCTTCCACACTGTATTACTTCAGAGCAAATTAGAACTGAAAATGTCCCTAATAACTTTGCCAAGTTTGACTAGCACGGAGATTAATAAAGTAAAAACTGTATGGTTAAGGTTTTTGTAGAGAAGAGAGAATTAACTGCAATCACAAATTATTTACTTAAATGAGAAATTGGAAAAGTTATGAGGGACGGAGGAAGTATATCTTATTAATGACGTTTTCAATGTGACCAAATAAATTAGTAAATTGTAAAAATGCTCCATTTTCTTAAATTCTCAATGTAACAAAATAATAAATTTATAAATACTTATTTCATACCATGTTGAATGAGAAATATTAAAAAAAATAGTATTTTGAGATTCTTAATGAAGTAATATAATGTGAAATTAATTAAAATTTTTTTGTGTGAATTCTTAAAATCGGGTTCATAACAATTATGTTTAGTTGAGATGCTTATGTACAAGTCCATTTAAATATTTTCATATAAATTTTAGATTGTTTTATTAATTATATACGTAATATGTAGTATATTTTATTTTACTTTTTCATAATTTGGGAGATTGCATCCATTTGGCTCAATCAGTTAGATTTAATTCATTACAGTAGAGTCAGACAATTCAACTCATTTTAGTATTATCAAATGGCTTTATATTTGACTGGGTTTATTTTGCTTTTACATCACATTTAATTATACTACGTATATGATTCCGAAAATATCAGATTTATAATTAGCTAAATTATGTACTGCATGGGCTTGAAAGCTAGTAATCCTAATATAGGAATTTAAAAACTGTAGTCATATTCACGAATTTTAACCATTTTTTAGGTAGATTCTATGGTACCCAAAAGGTACCATACCTTTGTCTACTTGGACCAATCGGAATTTTGCAGTTGAATTATTTAAATCTAAATTAAAAATGATTTAATGATATGGACCAATCATGTGAGTAGTAGGTACGGTACCCCATTTTTTAAATGGTATGAGAGTTGTCACCCATTTTTTATGGTATTTAGATCATTCGTACTACGTAAATAATGGGGGCAAGTATTAATCTTAATAATACGGGTAGTACTAGTGTACTACGTAGTAGATATGAATACTGCACATGTGCGTATCGATAAGAACGACGAACCACCTGCGTATTATACGCACTTCAAAAGCTGATCTGATAAAACCACAGGCGCAAAAGATACGAAACTCCGTATATCGGTCACAATCGGAAAACAGGTGGATCAAACGACGACGTGCGAGACAAGAGAGAAAGAAAGAGGAGGACGTGGCTGATAGGAGAGGAGTACGCCGGAGCACCTTAGCAAACCTCGCCGGAATGATTCACGTTTGAGGAAGGGGAGAGCTATTGGTCACCGCTGATCATCGACGCACCAAACGTCGCCAGACTTATTGGTCACCCTGAGACGAGAGCTAGGGGGGTTTCCCGCCCATGGCTCACTGATTTTGAAGCGTCCCGTTTGCCCTGCGCGATAAAGAAGAAGGATGAACAGTACCAAACGGGTCAAATTTGGGTCAAGTTGGACTGGGTCAACTAGCTTACACATCGGACCGAGTACTTCCGGTTAGGATTTATTGCAATTCGAGGTAAGTGTCTCTGTCAACGTCAACGAACATTATTGTTTTTCTGCATTAATAATTTAATATATAATTTTGAAAAGTTTATATGTGAATTACGTGTTGCAATTTGAGATTCAATATTATTTGAAAATATGTGGAGTATTTATACTTGTGTAAATTATAATTAGTAACTTTTGGATGAATTTTGGAAATTGTGATGAGACATGCGAAATGTGGTTATTTTTATATATAAAATTAGTTAATTGATTTCAGAAGGTGTGATTTGGATATTATGTTCATTTTCTTTGGAAAACTATAATTTGAGATTTGATGAATGCATGTGAAAATGTGATAAGTTTTTATTTTTGTAAAGATTAATATTTGAACAACTAGTGGTTTTGAGAATACAATTATTATTTCTAAAGCTTTGATAAAAATTCTATGTATTCGAGATTAGGAAATCTGTGTATATATCTAAACAAGAGTTTATATTTTCAAATATTAATATTTCCATCTCATAGATATTTTTGAGAAATTACCATAGATAGATGTGGATTATAGTTTAGACTACTTCATTTAAATGTATAGTTATAACAATAATTTGAATCTATAAAATTGTAGATGATTTTGAGAGGTTTTGGGAAATACACAATACTTATTATCTACTTCGTATTTGATATTGAGAATACGGTTAAAAGTATCTAATTAAGTTTTCAAAAATGTTTATATTTTGCCTCTTTGATAATCTAAGGAATTTCGACAAATGTGTGTGTGAAACTATTATCTTTTTAAAATTATTATTTTGAATTTAAGATGATGGTACAAATTTATTTCCATCAAAACTTATTGGTTTACTTCCTACACAAAATTGAGATATTTTAATGAAAATATATATTTATAAAATACCATATACTTGAATAATATTTTGAGAATATAACTACCAAGATTATTATGGAGTTAGAAATGATTTTTAGGGACTTTGGTACAGTATATAAAATAAATATCTTCCTATATATAAGAGTATAATAACTAGTGCTTATTTTTATAATTATGTAAGTTCTCTGCCAACAAAAATTATAATTTTTCTCGTAAATGTATTAAGTAAAATTATACTAAATGAGACTAAAACATGGTTAAAACTCCAAAATAGGACTTCAAGTTTTAAATTGCATAAATGGGACTTCAGGTTACTCTTTTGCCCTTCTGCAATTAAAACCCCAATCTCTCGCCCCCTTCTGCTATTCTCGCTTCATCGTCCAGTCCGCTTCATCGATGCTCTGCCCCCTTCATCGCTGCTTTCTCCGATCAACTACAACAAATCACAGTAGCTCCGCACATGCTTTCAATTCATCCCATAGACTGCAGCTCCGCCATCGGCTATGGTTTCGCACCATAGCCGCCGTCGATCGTAGGTAATCTCCTCCTCCTTTCTTCATCATCATCATCATCATCATCATCATCATCATCATCATCATCATCTCCTCCTCCTCCTCCTCCTCCTCCTCCTCCTCCTCCTCCTCCTCCTCCTCCTCCTCCTCCTCCTCCTCCTCCTCCTCCTCCTCCTCCTCCTCCTCCTCCTCCTCCTCCTCCTCCTCCTCCTCCTCCTCCTCCTCCTCCTCCTCCTCCTCCTCCTCCTCCTCCTCCTCCTCCTCCTCCTCCTCCTCCTCCTCCTCCTCCTCCTCCTCCTCCTCCTCCTCCTCCTCCTCCTCCTCCTCCTCCTCCTCCTCCTCCTCCTCCTCCTCCTCCTCCTCCTCCTCCTCCTCCTCCTCCTCCTCCTCCTCCTCCTCCTCCTCCTCCTCCTCCTCCTCCTCCTCCTCCTCCTCCTCCTCCTCCTCCTCCTCCTCCTCCTCCTCCTCCTCCTCCTCCTCCTCCTCCTCCTCCTCCTCCTCCTCCTCCTCCTCCTCCTCCTCCTCCTCCTCCTCCTCCTCCTCCTCCTCCTCCTCCTCCTCCTCCTCCTCCTCCTCCTCCTCCTCCTCCTCCTCCTCCTCCTCCTCCTCCTCCTCCTCCTCCTCCTCCTCCTCCTCCTCCTCCTCCTCCTCCTCCTCCTCCTCCTCCTCCTCCTCCTCCTCCTCCTCCTCCTCCTCCTCCTCCTCCTCCTCCTCCTCCTCCTCCTCCTCCTCCTCCTCCTCCTCCTCCTCCTCCTCCTCCTCCTCCTCCTCCTCCTCCTCCTCCTCCTCCTCCTCCTCCTCCTCCTCCTCCTCCTCCTCCTCCTCCTCCTCCTCCTCCTCCTCCTCCTCCTCCTCCTCCTCCTCCTCCTCCTCCTCCTCCTCCTCCTCCTCCTCCTCCTCCTCCTCCTCCTCCTCCTCCTCCTCCTCCTCCTCCTCCTCCTCCTCCTCCTCCTCCTCCTCCTCCTCCTCCCCCTCCCCCTCCCCCTCCCCCTCCCCCTCCTCCTAATCCTCTTCAAATTTCTGGTCCTCTTTCTCTTCTTCTTCGATTTTTTTGGATTTGAATTTTATTTATTAATTTAGATTTTTTGGGTTTGAATTTTATTTATTCAGGAAAATGACACTTTTATAATCTGAGAATGTCAAAATTATTGGTTATTTGAAAAAAATGTCATGTTTTGTGGCAGTACATTTACCAGAATGACAATCTGAAAATGTCATTTTTGTTTCGAAAATGTCATGACAATGCATTTTTCATTTTTGGAAATGTCATTTTCTTCTTTGAAAAAATGTCATGTTTGTGGCGGTACATTTACTAGGTTGACAATCTGAAAATGTCATTTTTGTTTCGAAAAATGTCATGAAAATGATATTTTTTCTTTAATTTTTGGAAATGTCATTTTCTTCTTTGAAATTGTCACCTTAGCAAATGTAATGTCATAAAAGTGACATTATTACAAATTAGTGTTCAATTAAACATCATTTGTGACATTTTTTAGATTCAAGTGATGAGAACAATAATATGAATCTTTTAAAATAAATTACTCAAGATTAATAAAAATTTGGAAATCTAAAAGAAGAAGAAAATAGAAGAGTTGTAGAAGAGGAAAATAAGGGAGCTTTGAGAAGAAGTTAACGACGAGCAGAAGAAGATTAAAAGATGGAGAACAAACTTACCTGGGCATGTATGTAGCAGAGGCGTACATCCATCGCTGTCGATCGACATTGCAGAGAAAAACTTACCAAAAACACATAAGACCGTGGAAAGACGGGGAGAGGAATGTCATAAAATCAATTTTTTGTGTCTATCTCTCTCATGTCACATGTGCACCGTGCACATTGTAGCATTGAAGATGCTCTTAGTTAAGTACTTGGAAGAATTACTTCTTAGAATCTTAGGAAACTTAAAAATGTTAAAGAGATCCTACTATTTGACGAATGATACTTATTTTCATAAGTATGCACGTTTTTTTTTTTGAAAATCAAATAACTAAATTATTATTAAAAGATAGAAGAGATACAAGAGAATGAATAGCCTAAGGCTACAATGGGATGAGACATAGAATGGAAAAGATCCAATGAATTCTTCCAGATCGCTAATCCCGCAATAATGTAGTCTAGTCTAACAGCTTTGCTGCTCTTCTTGCTACTCCAAATGGAAAATAGAAAATTACAACTCAAAGATCCGGCTTCACCAGCCACCAGAAAGAGAGAATTGGTTTGACCAGCAACCAACAAGGAAACTCAATTGAGCATAAATTATCTGGATCATCAGTTTGACCAGCCACCGAAAAGGAGATCCAGTTGAGAGCTATCTTTTTCTTCGAGTGAGGCGGTGGTTCTGGAGGAGGGCGAATAATTGGAGTTTCAAAAGGACTAGGTTGAATCTGTCTTGCTAACCATGAATAATGAACCACTCGATCGGTTACACCGACGAGGAAGACACGATCTCTAAACATTGCTAGGAGAAGATCAAAACACACGCTCACATGAAGCGGACATAACTCTCGGTCAAAGAAGATGCCGGACCAAAACCACAAAGAAGATAGAAATAAAAAAAGATAAATATCATAACAAAATCTAAACCTGTAATTCGTTATTGTTTGTAGAACATCACAACCATCAAACCCTTGCCAATCTTGTAGACTCCAAGGACGAATTGAAGAGAATCATCATCACCTAGATCCACCCTGCTGCGGCGCTAGGTTTTCCACTTCTCCATTCGTTCGTGCCTTTTAGTGAGACTTATGTTCTCAAGCCGTTACTCCTCTTGTTTTGGTGCCCAAGTCAATACGAATTGTACTTTATCAAGAGAAAAACACAAACTTACTAGAACAATTCCTACACACCTACCATATATTCTTTTCTTTGTCAAAAATAGTCGAACTATACAGATTTCATATAGTACTCGTACCAAGAAAATGCAAGACATACATCAAGATATTACATCATAAGAGATCCCTTAGAATGTACTTCGTATTATCGTTATCGAAATTTGACACTAAACTCGTGCATTGATTGGGAAAGCTCATCATAAATAATGAGAATAAAAAGAAAAATACAAAGTCATATTGAAAATGATAATGAGATATATACAAAGTCATCAAAGGAAAGGCTACGCTGGAATGAGACCATAAGTACGCACTTTTAGGTGTTGGTTTTGGAAAAGATACGTTTGAGTTTTGAAACACTTCTTTCGGATAATGATTTATGAAGGAATGTGATAAAGCTCGTACTTTATTTGGATGTAGTTTGAATGTTGAATTTACGACTATGAGATGTGTAGTACGAGTTATATGAATTAAATGTTGATTGAGATTCAAAAGTTATTTTGGAGGCTGAGTATTTTGGAAAGTAATAGGAGTATTTTACTCCTATTATGTGAACTATTCAAAGTAATAAAACTTTCATATTTTAAATAGTTTCGTATTAAAAAATATAATAATGACCAAACTTGACCGATCATTGAATAAGAAATTCAGGACATGTTCTATTGGATTGAGAAAGTGTATATTGAAACACTAATAATCAATCGTCAAATCAGTGCAACTATTTTATTTATTACGGAGTTCTACTTTTGTTTGTATATAACTTACACAATGTTTTAATTGTATGCATACAGCCTCTAATTTTCTAAGGTTAGCCCCAGATCGGATGGAATCTTCAAGGAAGAATATAGGATCTGTTTCGAGGCAAGTATTATCACCAACTCCTTATTTCAGCTGAAATTATTACTACGTATATGACTTTGTTTTTAATTATTGTATAAAATTGCTGCAAAATAAATATGGGAAAATTTGCGAAATAGGAGTAAAACCGTTTGAAAATTTCAAAATAGGATTGCAATTTTTTTATTCCTTAAATATGAGTAATTACTTCCAAATTTGGAAAATATTGCCACATATGCATGTATAGTATGGTATTGCCAAAACATGACAGTAATTACTCATATTTAGCAAATAAAAATATAATAGTCCTATTTTGAAATACACAAACGCTTTCAGAATGTTTTCTTTTGGACTGAAATTTGCTGGTCTAGTCTGATCTGGTCTGGTCTGGTAAACGTCTGGTATCTGTGTATTTTATAACTACGGAAGTTCGATCTGATCTGGTCTGATGTGGTCTGATCTGGGACTGAAAAGAGTCCAAAAGAAAACATCCTCAATCCCATCCACCAAAAGAAAACATCCTCAATCCCATCCAGTGTAATTTCCCAAATATGAAATGATCAAGTAAAGTGATAAACAATTTTTTTATTTGGAAAATAACACCACTTCATCCATACTACAAAAACACGTACTAATTTAAAACGTCTTAATTATAGGAATTTCTGAGCCTTATTTTTGAAATGTGATTAATCTCTTTTATCTACTTTTCCCTAATTCGTATGGTTCAGGAAAACAAAACAACGTTCGGCATCGGTTTTTCACCTACGCATTGGCGGAATGCCATGCTCAGTAGATAGGGTAAGTACATCTACTATGCATTTAGCGTACATTTTCCACTAATATTTATTTGTTTTGTGATTTAATATAATTCTAGAATGGTTTCTAAATATACAAAATTTAATTGTATGTAAGATCTTCATAGTAGTGAGAATTTTATTTTATAATAAGATGATTTTATACAAAAAGAAATTGCACATTTTTTACAGAAGAAATAATATATTTGTACTCAACAAACTTATAAAGGCCTAATAATAATTGGAGGCAATAATATAATGTCGTGGTGTATGACTTTTACCCCTGTTAAAATATTACTTACACGGTAAAATATGAACTAATAAACTACTCCCTCCGTCCCAATTTGATGATCCTGTATTTCCTTTCTGGGCCGTCCCAAATTGATAGTCTCATTTCCCTTTTTGGAAAGATATATGTGGTCCACATCATTTCACCTTTTTCTACTCAAATCTCAACCACAACTTTTACCTTTTCAACCACTTCCTTAATCTTTGAGCCCAAAAGAAATGAGATCATCAAATTGGGACGGAGGGAGTACGTAGTATTATATTAAGATTTCGGGTCACTCCTTCTATCAAATTGATCTTTTAAGATGAAATTTCGAGTCTTTACATGATATTCGAGCCATGTCTGGTTGTAGTCTAATTTTTACTTAGCATATATAATTAAGAATAACTTAATTATAACAAATGAAGATGGTTATGAAAAATGACAAGTATTATGACAAATTGATGAAAAATGTAATGACACGATTTAGACGAAGTGTCTGGTTGTGAGGAAAAATATTTCCCACACACTTAAAATATGAAATAATAAACTATTATACCAAAAACTCATGTTACTCTTGTCAAGTTGACTTTTAAAATAGAACCAAGAGTCTTAACGTGATATAAAAGGTCATGCCCAGTTGTGGTATGATTGTTATTTAGGGAGTGTTTGCAATTGCTTCTACTTTGAAAATGTAATTTTTTAAAGTGATTTTGGAGAGAGTGATTAATGATAAAAGTTGATAGTGTTTGAAAAAAATGATTCTGAAATAGTAAAAGTTGATAGTTTTTGATAAAATAAGTGTTTTTTGTGTAATAGAAAAAGTGAAAAGCGGTTTTAAGCATCTCTTCAATTGCTTCCAGTTTTTTGATTTTAAGTGATTAATTTAAGCAAAAACCGTCACTTGAAAACACTCATTTCAACTTTTTTAATCTAAAAGCTGAAAAACATTTTTTTTTTAATTTTTTGCAAATACTCCCTCAGTACCCAACTACCCATGATTAAGAGCGGGGAAATTTTATTTGTAGACTCCTTTTTTTTTTTGAAGTATGTAGCATCCTTTTTCCTAAATACATGTACACATTTCGGTAACACCCCGTCTTGAGTATTTTTTTAAATATTCTCGCTTATGTCCTTAAAACGTAACGGAGGAGTGAGGGCTGTCGAGTTCCGTCAAATTACAGTCATATCCACACACTCCGCCATCTACCCGGTCCACCCACCCAGCTAAGTTCTTTCCGGAGAAAGAACTTGAGAACCGATCTCTTTCCCATTTCTCCTGCAAGTCCATTCACGGCGGAGGGTTTCCAGCTGAGAACAGCGTCTCAGTTTTCTTAGGAGCAAGTGAGCCTTGAAACTTTGCATGTATATCAATTCATTATCCTTGGCCTTTTTCTTTGACATAATCACTAATTTGAAGCTTGAATCCATGATTTTTTTTGCTCCTATGAACTTTGATTTTCACTTTTCAGATTTGGACTATAAACCCGTATGATTAAGTTGATAGAAATGAAATAGTTTGTCCCTCAGTCCATCCCATCAGGCCTTCCGTCCCTCTATGGCACACCATTCTAATACAAGTATTTCATTAGAGGTATACCTTTAGAGTATTTACAATATGTATGTAGAGTCGAATAAAATTAACAATTTATTTAAATTTACACATATCATATGTTAATTCGAATCAAAATCATCAAATCTTAATCATATAGTGGTTAGATTAATACAAGGGTTACTGTGAATTAAAGTTGTATGATTTGTTTTTGAACCTGTAAAAACAAACAATTTCACCCAAAATGAACAAAATGAGCTTTATTTTATTTTATTTTATTTTATTTTATTAATTCAGCTACCCTCTTTATGCACTGACTTGCTATACCCAAGAGCTCAAAGATTGATCAACTGGGTCCAATAAACGTAGTAGGATAAAGTTGGCAAGATAAAGGCACCATTTGATTCTATCATTTAGTTTTTCTTTAGATTTTGCACCTGAGAATGGAAGGCTCCTTTCTTTTATGAAATTTTCCAAGGTATCTAATCACATAATTTCGGATAACCCCTCACAAGCTTAAACAAAATTTATTTCTCCTAACTGAATTCATTTGTTTGCTTTCCTGTTAGTTCCAAGTTTGATTGTATATAGGTTTGTATCTGCAATTTTTGTTGCTTCAGGCAGTGTAACAGAACCAAAATTTTAAAAATGACCATTCCTATACACAATTGTGTCTCATTGGTCCCTTACATTTTGAATCTGAGGACTATATTTCTTCAACACCATACTACTCTCCAAAACAAGTACTTCATATATGACAGTTATATCATATCTTGAATTTTATGACGATTCCTGGTTTAAATTGTATGACAATTCAAAATTATATATTTTCTGAAAATATAATCTCTTATTATTGGAGTGATATTCCCAAGTCACCTGCGTTGTATATATAATATTGCACAGTTTGTTTCTTTTGCTTTAACCTTGAATTGGAGTGATATGATTTGTGATTGTAGGCACTCCTGGTGTTTGTTCTTTATGTACGGTGTACTGCTATTAACCCAACAGAGTTTTTAACAAGTAGTAGTAATAATAGCAGTACAAGTTCAAAACATGGACTTTCTACGAAAGACATGCCAGGAAAATTTCTCCTTTGTCACTTAAAATAGATACAAATTCTTCCCCTTTGTCAACCTCGAAAATTTCTTTTCCTGCATCGAACTCTGTTAAGAAAGGTCAAGTAGAAGGTGGCAGATCAGATTATTTTGCTGCGCTGAAAATTAGAGTTTCCTAACTGCCTATATAGCATTTGAGCCCCATAGTTAGCAGCTTAATGAAGGCACAAACCTCAACTAAGATGAATCATTAACGTTATGTTTTGGTCAATACTAATATTCATTTGGAATATTAAAAAAAAGTGCTTGAGCATGGTCTTTAACTAAATGGAAAAATTAGAAAGTCAATTCCTGCTACTTGTTCACATGTTGAAATATAATAATGTAAACCATCCACTACAATTCAAGAAATTTATTCTTGTACTTAATCATCAATATATTTACTTGATGCATTGTTCTTGCTTTTATTATAAAAGTTTCCAAGTATACATTGATCCATTTCTGAGGGTAATGGCATTTGTGGGAGAAAAGTGTCCGAATATTTTTAGTTTAAGGAATAACTAGTTCGGTTAATCTCACAAACATTTATATTACTCGTAGGAGATTTGTAATTTTTGTTGGGACGGAGGAGAACAACAGCGAAGGTCCGGCTACCGAAGGGGCTGACACCAAACTGTCAAGGAACCTCGCTTCTTTGTTACTCATTAATTAGTCCTTATTTTTTACCTCCATCCAGTAGATTTTTGAAAGCTTCTTCTTCTTCTTCATTTGGGTAGTGTAAACTGTGAAGTGCTTTTTCTCCCCTGGTTTGGGGTCTTTCTATAAAATGACATTGTAAAATATGCTGTTGCTGCTCCGTTTTGAATGAAGAGGTGGGAATTGGTAGAGAAATTTTCATGGATTATGAACGAACGAAAAAGTTGTATAGCCAAATTGCACTGGGAATTCACGGACGGGTGAGTTTGAAATACATCGTCGAAGAAGAACCCCTTAAACTCTTTCATGGCGTGGTGTTCTCATGTATCACTGTAGTTATCTAAATGAATTGACTACCAAATGCAAAGATGTGATACAAACCTCGTCTAGAACTAGGGTAACAAAGGATTCCTGAAATTTCTCCGTTTTTGCCTTTCTTCCTTCTCTGGTGTTATGCGCTTGAGAGCTGCCTTCTGCACACGACTTTGGGGTTAACGACTTAATAAGGTTAACGATGGCTCACTTACACGTTGGTGCTTCTGGTGCAGTTTAGATTGAGGGAGCGTGTTGAAGAAATTTGTTTCACACGTGATTGATATGAAATCATAAAACAATACGCAGTATATAAGATCTTAGGCTCCTCCAATTTTAGGATGAAACCCCAGAAGCAGGGGCTGATGCGTAAGAGGAGGGAAGCCGTTGCCCCCCAATAAACTCCCACTAAATCCACATACTTTGTGAGAAATAAACTATTAAAAGACTAAGTATTTGCCCCCAATTAAAAAATTATGGTTATCCCTATGAGGGGAGATGGTTAAAGGAGCGAGTAATTAAAGGAATGAATGGAAAACATGTATTGCGCTTAAGATATAGTTTTGCTGTATAGAATGCTTAAATGTCTAGAACATTCTTGATCCTTCCAGGTCATTCCTGGACATTCTAGAGGATTTCCAAAAACTTCTAGTATCCTCTCCGTGATACTTCACCTTAAAGTGAAGTTTTTGGTTTCGTTCATGAATCATGATCGATGATTAATCAAGGATAAAGTAAATTTCTTCCGATAAAATTTAAATTAGTACATGTAATCAAATTTGCGTGATTAAAAGCTATACTAAAATATCAATGAATTAAAACAATCGAATATTAATATCATCATAGAGGTCAATTCATATATATGATCACATATTAAAGGTGGGTTCAAGTGACTACACGATAGTGGACATTTTGGTTTGGGTAGTAGTATTATACTGTAGTATATTTCAAGAAATTGTTGTGTGAGTAAAACATAGACAAATATCTATACTATGATTAAATATATTTTTCATCCTATATAGGGTTTACTTAGTGATCCTATTAAAAGAATTTAGAGTAAAAATAAATTAGGTATTGAATTGAACATCTCCAAGAATGCACGTGAGTACTAGTTTAGAGTTTTAAATTTTTTAATGGGAAACATAAACTTAATTTTGAAAGTGGTGAGATTACATGTTGAACACTACTAATGAATATATCTGAACATTGATGTTTGCAAATTAATGTGTGCATGGATACAGGAGCTTTTGGCAGAAAAATCCTCTAAGGTGGCTCAAGCGCTGAAAGAGAAGCCAGATGAAGAGAATCTGTGTTTCTTACTCGGGGAAGACATCCCCACTGACCCACAAACCTTCGAGCTCGTAGCCAGATACTGCCACGGCTATGCAATCGACCTTGCGCCCCACAACTTCTTCCAAATCTCATGGCTGGCTTACTACCTAGGCATGACCGAAGACCACAGACCCAACAACCTCCTCAAAATGGCTTACCTCTACTTCCGAAACAACGTACTACCCAGCTGGAACAAAACAATCACTGCTCTTACCACCATGTCCATGCATACCGAAGGCCTCGACCGAGCCATGCAGCTCGGTCTCATCCATGAATGTGCGGAGTCGCTCACCACTCAAGCCCTTCACGACCCCCGCCTTCTCTGTCATGAACCAGAAAACTGCGGTTTCTCTAAACGAAATCCGAGGAGAACTCTGTTCTCCCCGGATTGGAAAAAAGAAGACCTAGCTGCACTTGGTATCAAGCTCTACGAACCGATAATGGCCGGGATGATTCACCGCTGCGTCCCTCTAGACTACGCATCAGCTTCTCTGTGTCACTATTTTGACAAAAACAGATCCACAACTGACAGAAGAGAAGTCGTTGAAGCCATCCAACGACTCTTACCGCCCCACGACTACTACGAAGATAAGGAGGAGGTAGAAGAAGAGAAAGAACTTCTCGTTATTCCTTTTACGACTCTACTGGAAATGCTGAAAACCGCAGTGGAATCGGGTGCAAGTGAAGAGTGTAAGGACGGGTTGGAGGACAGAATTGGAAAACGGCTAGACGAGGTCACTGTCCAAGACCTAATATCACTATCTGAACTATATAACAGTGCCGAGAAACAAGGAGGGGGAGGAGGAGAAAAATACGACAGTAAATGTCTGAAAAGGTTAATGAAGAGTTACTGCTGTAACTACAGAGGTTCAGACGTCACTGGGTTCGTGAAAGTGGGAGAGGTTATGAATGAGTTTTTAGTTGAGGTTTCTCGGAATCCCGAGTTGAAGATGGAAACGTTTGTGTCGCTGGCGGAGTTGTCCTCCACTGTGTCAACGGCGATACACGGATGCTCTGACGGTTTGTACAGAGCCATGGATGTGTACTTGGAGACACACGGATGGCTGACAGAACAGGAAAAGGAGGTGGTGTGCGGCGCACTAGAGTGCAGCATGCTGTCGACGGAGGCGCGGGAGCACGCCGTAGGGAATCAGAGGTTGCCTTTGAGGCTGGTGGTGCGGGTTCTGTTTGTAGCTATAGGTGAGATGAAGCTGAGGGACACCGCCACCATTGTTACCCAAGCTGGTGCAGAGAGGTCTGAGGAATATGGAGAGGGAACAAGAAGAGGAAATGATGATAATAACATGGATATATTGTTGAGGGAGAAGTATAATGGCAGCATTAATAATAGCAGAAAGAATAATAGCAGCGTTTGGAAGAAATTGAAAAGGAAGCTTGGGTGTGTAACCTCTACGCAACATGAGTCCATTAACTGCCATGTCAAGAGGAACAAGCAAGATCACACAGTTCAAGGTGGGAAATTCAAATAGACTTTAGTAAGACAACTTTTCCTCTTTAATTTATTTATTTATTTATTTATCTGTTTGTTTATTCATTTGATTTGTTTACTAATTGCAGATATTCATTTAGTTATTTGTTATTGGCCCCACAATAACTCAATAAGCTCTTTTAAAAAGGTTGGGTTAGTTTGGAAGTCTTTCCGGGAAAGGTTAATAACATTGTTACACTAAAATATAAGTGTCAATATTTTTACTAAACTAGGACAGATTGGCCCCTATTTTGAGAAGTTTTGATTATTGTCTTAATCTTATAGTAATTGTTCTAGATAGGAACAAAACATAAATAAATAAGTTGCACAAATCGAAGTAGCTATATTATTATATTCTCAAAATAGAGGTATTTGATTGTATTAATGTTATATTTTAAGATTTCTCTTTGTTAAGTGAACATCGTTGTTATATCCTCTAAAGAGCTGAGGGAGCCTAATGATCACGCCGGATTTTATTTTGTCGTTAAATATATGCCTTTAGTGTTAATAAAAAAAATGACACCCTATCCCCGAGGTCCTGAACTGATCGAACAGTTATAAGTTGAACTGTTGAAGTTTGATCATAGACTGGTAAAGAGAGTGTGGGGTTTCGTCAAATCAAATATTTTTTCTGGAATCGACCTCATAACCTCTCATTGTTACGCCCTTTACCAGTACGTCTTTGATCAATCATGTTTTATTGTTAAAAAAATTAATTTCTAGTTTATTTTTGCTTTCAAATATTTTCTCTTTAATCCATAAAAAATTCATCATACATTCGGGTTTTTGACTTATGAATTGAAAATTTTGATAACCTACACATGTCCCTTCCACTTGTGGTATACAAAGTACTACTGGAAATATTTATAAACCTCTTACGTCCCACAAACCATCTTATTGAGGTATAGTCAAATTCGGATATTTTTAGTATAAAATTATTCAAAAATGAAAATTATATAAATGTTCTTTGCTAATACGTAGTAATATCTTCTTAAAACTTTAAGAGTTATAAGTTTTACACAATATAATAACTAGAATTATTATCCAAATTGTAATATATATATATATATATATATATATACACACACACACACACACACACATACTACCATTGACAAAAAAACTAATTGGTCGAGTTTTATGAGAGAGACGAGGAGCACGTTTGCATTTATAGTATTATTATAGGGTTGGATGATCATTGTTCTAAAAGGCGGTAAAAGCGAGTTGGAGCCGTCGGCCGGTGACTGGCCGCCTAGCGCCTAGATCACTTAAACACCGACTAGGGTGCCTAGGTTTTCCCCATATATTTCTTTGTGTTATTTGTATTTCCTTTGAATTTTAAAAATATTACTAAACACTAAGGGCATGTTTACTAACAGAGATAATTTCCAGTTTTCTGGAAAACTGGAAAACTGGAAAAAGGAAAACAGAAAACGTGTTTACCAAAGAAAATTGCTGGAAAACTGGAGAAACGAAAACAGAGAAACACGTTTACCAAATCGTTTTCCAAAACCCAAAAAAAATGAGATATGTCTCAGTTTTCCTTAATGAATTGGAGAAGTGACTTTTACTAGTTTTCCAAAATTGGAAAACGTGGGTGCTGCAGTGCCGCTGCAATGAACTTGCATACTTACGCCTAATGGTGGATACGGTCCGGCTAACGACCCGGCGATCCCTATCTGGTCCGATCAATTACCCGGCGGTCCGGTCTGGTCATTGACCCGTCGGCCTGGTCCGGTCATTGACCCGACGGTCTGGTCATTGACCTCGGTCCGGTCTGGTCATTGACTCGGCGGTCCGGTCCGGTCACTGACCTGACGGTCCGGTCCGGTCATTGACCCCACAGTCACTGTCAATCCGATCGACGACCGAGCAATTCCGGTCCGATCCGATCGATGACACGACAATCCTGATCCTGTTGACGATCCTGCGGTCCCTGTCCGGTCCATGACCCGACGGCCCATGTCTGGTCCGGTCCACGATCCAGCGGTCCCTGTCCGATCCGATCGATGACCCGACGATGCCGGTCCAGTCCACGACCCGACGGTCCCTGACTGGCCTGGTTGATGACCCGACGAACCCTGTTCGATTCGATCTACAACCACGCGGTACCTGTTTGGTCCGGTCGACGACCGGGCAGTCTCGGTCCAATATGGTCTAGTCAATGACTCGACAGCCCCCGACCGGTCTAGTCAACTACCTGGTGGTTCCCGTCCTGTCCGGTCAACCATGCAGTAGTGTCGTCTTATCCTATCAATGATCCGCTCGGTCCCTATCTTGTCCGGCGAATGACCCGACGATCTGTGTTCGGTCCGATCAACAAGCGGGCGGTCTGGGGCCAGTTCTGTCAATGACCCAGTGGTCCATGTCTGGGCCAGTCAATGACCCAATGATTAGGTGTCACTTTTTTAAATTATTTTTTACAGTGAAGAGTTTTAAAATAGCCGTTGAGTTGTCATCTAATAGGGAAATGTGAAAAGAATTCATCAAACTAACCATTGACATCGATCGGTACCAAGCAATTACGGTCCCGAATTTCCTATATGTGGGACGTGGTACCCTACTTGGGTAGTATTAGGTTTGGTTCCGGATTGGTAGCGCACTTTCGGTCTTTTGGTCGGTCACATAACTGGGTGAAGAAAATAGATGAACATGTTTTCAGATTTGAAAATGGAAAACTAAAAAATGAAAACAGGAAAAATGGAGATAGAAAAACAGGAAAATGAAAACAGAAAATTTGAGAACGAAAAACAGAAATAGAAAACTGGAAAATATCTCTGCTAGAAAACAAGCCCTAATAATTTTAGAATATTTTGTCAATATAAATAGCTCATATATATTGTTTTATATAGTAAAATACAGTTATAAAATGTTCACATGTGAATCTCTTATTACTCAAAAAAATTCTATTTTCATTACTATTAAAACATTTAACTAATTCCCATAAAAAAGCAGCCCTATATCGTACAACCAATTGTTCGATGAACACCGTATAACTGGTGACATTTTTGTAATTTAACTGAAAATCACAGCTTCCGTTGAATGAGCATTAATGCACGTTTAGTGAGCATGAGACCTATTTTGTTGAGTATTAGAAGTCTAATATTGAGCATCGTGATTTCTGCTTCATATCTTCTAATTCAGTTTATTTTTCTTATTTTTTCCTTTATAAAAACTTATTAAATTATATCTATAATCAACTCTTGAATTTCAATATGCGAATCTAATGTAATGCAGTACTTTTGAGCATAATATAGATACCAAATGAGCATATGCAGCTTACAAAATAAGCATTGATATGAAAATTGTACGATTTGTTAGTTTTGCATCAAGACATTTTCACTGAGCAACAAATATCATCTGTTGAGTATTGGAAACATGCAATTGAGTATCATGATATGTGCTCTCGTGTCTATAATCAACTCTTATTTGAATTTAATGTATTATGGTACTTTTAAAATATGCATTAATAAAACATTTTAAAATGATCATATTGTTTAAGCTATTTTTCGTAAGCTAAACTACGTAAATATGATATGAATGTTCGAAAACGACAAATCAGTTGGGTACGTGCGAGGATCAAAGAAATAGTGAAGAATCAAAAGAATAGAGATTAAAATATACGGAGTAGTATATTTGATGAATAATGGCTGCGGCAAATTTCATCTTGATGAATAAAACGACCGGTAAAAAAATTAGCCTGAAAATACCTACACAAGATTCAGATGTAAGGATGACAGATTTATTGAGAGGCTTGAAGTTCAAAAATATTACAAAAATACCTGATTGTACCATACTGAAGGTACAGTCGGGTGAGTTTACCTTATAATTTCCAAATAAAAAGAGATGGATCGACTAATGAAAAAAGGAGAAAAATTTAGTAGAAAAAATAGTACAAAGCATATCCTTATTATCAATCATGTTAATGAGATAAATTTTCGAAATAAATACCATATGGATTATGTTTTTCAAAAACAAACCATTCAACACTAAATTCTCTAAATAATACGACTCTAATACACGTAATAAGATTCTAATTATACAAAATTAATACGAATATTAGATATTTGAATGAGTCTCTAATGCACCACCAAATTCTTTAAATAATGGAACTTTAGTATACTTGAATGACACACTAATCATACGTAATTAATACTACGTATTACACATCTGAATCATCAGACTTTAATATGGTCATGACAATCCAAACAATGTAAACTTCATGTACTCTCAATTTAAATTCAACACTTCTTTTGTCCATCCTTCATCATGTAATCAATCCTATAAACAGGGGAGGAAGCATGTTAGGGTCGGGAGGGGCTTGTGCCCCTGCAGTGTAATTTTTTGATTTAATATGTGTGTGTGCGCCCGCGCGTGTGCGTATGCGTGTGTGTGGGTGTGTGTGTTATGTTGAGCCTTTGCAGCACAATCCCAAAGAATCACACTTCGTATACACACTGGGTTACATGCCGGTCAATTTGTTCGTGCACACACAATTTGGCCGGCTACATAGACAATTTCACCAGCGTTTTATGAAGAAAATCGATTTCCACACGGGAAAAAAATAAAGAATTGTATGTATCAACAGACAATTCTTTATGAGAATTTTTCATAAAATGTCTGTGACACAGAAAATTTAGAAAGAGGTTTTAAACGAGAATTTGAAAATGTTTGTGATACAGACAATTTTTTTGTTTTTGTCTTTTTGAAAATCGGTTTTTCTTCATAAAACGCCGATCTGTGTAGCCGGTCAAATTGTCTGTACACTGACAATTTGACCGGCGTGTAACCAGACTTGTAAAAACAGGCGTGTACAAAGGGAATTTTCCAAGGGAATTTTTCGCAAATGGATTAAAAAGTGAAAGTAATATCACTTTTTTCACTTTCCAAAATTTCTTTCAAAAATAGACTATAAGGATTTCCTTTTCAAAAATAGACCAGGACCATAACGGAACCTTGCCTGCTCGTTAAGTAACAGAACCGATTGGAAGATTTGAAATCCATGCCCGTGTTATGCTCTATAATTTCACTTGCGAAATTTCATAATTTTAGTACATTAAGAGAGAAAAAAATAAAAAAGGATTCTAAGCTCAATCAAAGAACCATAAAAAAAAGTTAAATCAAAGAAACTGAAAACGAATATATATACTCTAGAGAGAACTTGCAACTCTAAAAAGATAAAACAGGTAATAATTATAAGAATAAAAAACTACAAAAATTAAAAACTTATAAATTGAAAAAGAAT